ATGTTCAGCTCTCTTATGCCGTTGACCTTTTTTTTTTTTTTTCCTTTAAACACGCTTTCTCAGTGCGGTCTACATCATTACCCTCTGCGAATCTAAGACGGGCCATCACTGTTGGTGACTGGGGACAGAGGCTGATTTTGTTTCACTCGTGGTTCTGTTGAGTGCTGAGGTTTATACCTGAGTCATGGAACCAGAACAGAACCGGAACATCGAATCGGCATAGCCCATTTAGCAGGAGGGGAAGGCGCCCCCTTTTGGAACGGGCAGCCTGACAGCATCCAGCAATTGCGCCCTGGCTGGGGCCAGGGGGAAGGGAGGGAGTCACACGGAATGATGACCGATATTCTGCCCTCGAGAGCTCCGTTAGGGTGAGAGATGGGGGACAGGGACCCGGTGCTTGGGGACGGCAGTCATGATCGCACCCAGACTCCAGCCCTCAGAGACTCTCTGCCTTCTGGGAGGCGGAAGACACGAAAGTCAGTGATGGAAATACCCGGTAATGAGGTGACAGACCCTGGAGGGTACAGAGACGTGCCCCGTGGGTCCGGGAAAAAGGAGACAGCAGTACCAGAGGGGGGGCTGCAGGAGTTTGTGGAAAACCCCCGAGTGAGTTTTCCTGCTGCCCGACGTCTTCTGTTAATATCATCATTCTTATTTATTTCGTTATGAAAACGATCAAATGTTAATATTTATATTCAGAAATGAAAATGTGTAAACAAAAGATGACAGTGGGTGAGTCGGTGGAGGTCAGCTCATTTGGCTGTGGGACGCATCCACATTCCATGCCTGGTTTTTGCGACTGGCTCAAGCCACTTGAGAAAAACAATAACCGAACTGTACAAGACTTGCTCACACGTGGAGAGCCATGACATGCACGCAGGACTTTACGAACTTTATCCTGCGTAAAAAGTGGCACTTGTCAGAATGCATCACAGGCAGGCAGATGCTGTGTTAGGCTGCCCGTGCGCACCCCAGTGTCTGTCGTGATGGAATAATTTCGGGTACGTCGACCATCATCTTTGATTTTAAAAGGCTTTCTCCTCACATCACATGGTTGGCCAGACAACTATCCTAATTGCAACAACAGGAAAATGCGGTCAGTTCTTGATTATCTGTGCTAATGGAGAGCGGTGGCAACGATAACACCATCCGGTGTATAAAAATCACGCGGCGGTCGATTACATCGCATTACATTACTCTAAAGATCACGCGACACTTTAGTAGCTAATTATGTGCCATTTATGTACTTCTTATAACTCAACGTTCTTGGAGCATTTTTACAGTCAGGTGAGGCCGCCGGGAGAGACTGGAAAAAGGACAATCGGGAGTAAACATGGCTTCCTGGATGGGAAGAGCCAACATTTCGAAGGCAGGACCAACGCGATCACCCTGTCTCGAGGTGAAAGCTAACGGCACCTCCCGCCTCGCAGGCTGGAAAAATTCAGAGCTCACCTGAGAGTGATGAGATGCGTCCTCCACGTCTCGCGCTCCCATGGAAAGAGGCTGGTGTGCGGGCTCTGCAAAAACTCGGGAACACTGCGGGAACCCGATGATCTGGCAAAACAGAATTTCCTTCTACACAGTTAAATCACAGAGGGATCACACGCAAAATAAGAGGGTAAGCGCGAGCGCTTGAAAGAGCTAAATGAGCACAGGGAAGAGGCCTCCTGCTGAGCTGTCTTGAGTCGCTGGCCATCTCAAGGCGTGACACACGGCACCTGAGAGCTCCACTGGGGCGAGGGCCTGGGGAAGCCCCGCTGGGTGGCTAGGCATAGAAGGGGTGTGGCTTTGACCTTTCTGGGACCTATTATTCCATTTTCTGGATGCATCAATCTCAATTTTCCTTTAACGAACTACCCTTCTGTGTGTGCAGGTGTGGCGTGATCAAGGTGCTCTGGCTGTGAGACACGAATTGGACCGATCGGTCTCTTCTAGAAATTTGGATATTGAGCGGAGTGGCATCAACACGGGGAAAAGAGCAGATTCCTCCCTACAGCAGCACCCCGAAAAGACTTTCCCAAGTCCCCGCGGCCCGGACCCTCAGAGTGGCCTGGTTCTTACTCTCACCAAGGTCTCGTTACTCAGCGTTTCCTTGGCTCACGTGACCTAACCCGTGTCCTCCTTTATGTTCGCCCAGGTTCGCCAGAGCTGTTTCTGCTGTGACGATCACGTGCCAGCAAAGCAGACATGTTTGGGCAAAGGTGCCTACGAGGCCCTTTCTACAGCATCTTCAGCTCAGTCGGCCTCGGCTAATCCAGGGGCCACTGACCGGACGATGGAGCTGAGAGACGAAAACACTGTTTCGAGGAGTAACGTCAGAAGCCAGGCCTTCTAACACTTTCCGCCATCGCACAGAGGTGGCGACCATCTTCCCTAACTGGTTCGCTCCGTCACACAGTCCGGCTGCTGAGGCAAAATGCTACTTCAAAGAACCCTCCAATCAATTCGTCAATGAGTATTTATTGCAAGGCACTGTGCTAGGCACTATGGAGAGTACACGGAAGATAAGACTGACGTCCCTGCCCCCAGGAGCTTACAATCTAGTTGGGAAGGCAAGGCGTACAGACAGGGAAACAGTACAAGAGCTGAGCGAAAACGCAAGACAACAATACAAGAGATTTCCAGACGTCGTGCCTGGCGGATGGCGACGTGAGCGGTGCCCACGGGGTTCGCAGCTAATTCCGAGGAAGGACGTCCCAGAGGACTGGCATGTGGCAAGGCTTCACAGACCCGCCGGGACCGTAGGGACGTGGGTGACAAAGGAGAGCGGGGAAGGTTATTGCAGAAGGAGCAGCCACATGACCGAAAGGCACAGAGGTGAGACCAAAAGCAAGCCGTGTTCAGGGGCCAGGGAGGGCTCGGAGTGGCTGGGTACCGGGTCAGCTTGGGATTAGATTTAAAGGGGGCTTAAAAGCTCAACTTTAGACTTTATTCTTCTAGCAGCGGGGCTGGGCAGACCTCAGAAGGACAGTGATACCCTTAACTTAGATGTACAAAGGACTTAGCTCATCCAGAGGAAGCATTCGAGTTTGAGCTTCTGGACGTTTATTTGTGGGGTTTGACCCTCTCTACCTCCAAAGAGGATTTCAAACGGTGTCTTCGGAGTCATCCACTCCCAGGGACTAGCTCGGGGGTGTCTAGCTTTGGACCCTGGCCAGGGACCTTTGAGTCCTCCATGACCTTGAATTGTAACTAGCACAAGGGTGAGCTAACAAATTCTCTGACAGGCAGGTAGGAAAAATGCTCCCGAAAGACAAGTATCTTTACGAATGACAGAATATTTATTAACAATACCTTTAAAAAAAGATTACATATGCTAGATCACCGGTAAATATCATTTACACTGGGGCTGGGAACTACCTGGGGTGTCATTTTTTTTTTCATTCATTTTATTATTTTATTGTTTTTTTTTGTGTGTGTGTATGATTTTAAATTTTGTTTTATTTTAACATAGAAGCAACCGTATCAAACTAAGAAAGGAACACAGCTTGAAATACTGACAATATTTTTTTTTTTCCGGTTACCACCCTAGTTTTTTACACAAGTGGAATCCTGATTATGACTTTATCGGATAAATATAGCTAGAAGGTCGAAAAGTTAACTTATGTTATCTGTAAGCAAAAATGACAAATTGCAGGCAAATTCGAGCTTTCTGAGAAAGAAGAAAAGGTGGCAGCGTGTTTACATGGGAAAAGTTTTATAGAAAATTTCATTGCCTTTTATACTGGTCCACTAGCGTCAGCTTACAAAACCTCCCCTGTTATAACAAATAGTTCTTTCATAAGAATACGGTCTTGTTGATATTGTCGTTTTCCAATGTGTGATTTTAAGACTTAGAAGGTAAAGCGTATAAAGCAACTAAGCTACCGACTGCAAAACAGGAGATTCGTAGAGACACCGTACAGTTGTACTAAAGATCTTTCATAGAGTCATGGAAAAAATTCTCTGCGGCAACTATTTGCTGAAATACGAGAAACCTGCCAAGCTCCGTACGTGATTCTGATTCAGAAGAAGGGCTCCGTTAGTAAAGAGGTACACATATTATATATAAGAAATTCTAGAAAGGAATTATGAATCCGTGAACAGAGAATTACCTTTTCTCAAAATGTACATTCAAAACAGATACATTTAAAGATAGCAAAATTACCTTTCATCCTTTGAAGGACTTGGTTGACTGTAGTCACTTTTGGTCTATGTTACTACAGGATGCGAAACTTCGAATTTAAGGTCTAAGATGACACAGACAGTGCTAACTCAGCAGAGCGACACGGGGGTCTTACTGTACCGTGCTAAGTTCGGGGATGGGAGTATTGCACAAGGTCTCGGGCAGTTAGTTAGGCTTTGAAATTGTGGCCATTCCTGAAACCGTCTCAAGCTGTGTCGAACAACAAAATTCACCGCCGGGCGGAAAAACACACTGTACGCGTCAAAGGATTCTGGTCGATGTGTTAACCACCCAAAAAGTCCCTTAAGTTACAGACGGCAGCCTGGAGTTACAGACCAGGTCCCCAGCTGTTCTGCCACTGGATCCTTGTAAAACTGTACAAGTAACTGGCGATTTATTTACCAAGATGAGTTTCAAACTCTATCTTTAAAGGAACTATTTGCAAACGATAATAATTGTATGATTGTGTTGCCATTGCATTTTATAGCAGAGGAAAAAATTAATATCTACATTTCATGTTAACTTTAAAAAATTCTATAAAACACTAAATATATAATAAAAAATATGCATATAAGGACATATGTAAACTGCTTTGGTAACATCGTGTTACAGATGTCTTCAGTGCATTGCAGAGTTTCCAAGGAAACTTCAGACAAAGCTAGGTTTGCTTTGAGGAAGAACTGTATAATGCCATTCCTAAAGAAGCAAAAAACATTTTTTTTTTCCAGTAATAAGATATACTTGAACAACAATATTACTTAGTACTGGGTGTCTTCAAAACAACTAGCTAAATGTCGCTTATGTTATAAACAGCAAGTCCTCTAGGTAGCCTTTGTCATAAGCTGGACCTGGCCGTGAGGGAGATCATGATGGTGCTGATGGCGGACAGTGTGCAGGCGTTCGAGGTGGAAGGACCAGCTCCTCGGGCATAGGCATCTGGAAAGAGAGAGTAGGTCACTCAGCGCGGCCTCACCCCGGCCGCCGCGGGGCGTGAGGCCGCGGGGCTTCTGGAAACTGTCAAAGTGGCCCGATGCCACTGGAAACGACTGTTCCTAACGAGTTTTTGACATCGGTCCCCTGACCGCCTGGCTGTGAACCCGGGAGCAGGTGACGGGACATTTCTGGGCCTCCGTGTACGTGTCTGTACACCGAGGCCATCCACAACTATCAGGGGAAGAGACCGCAACGTCACCGCTGACATCGGTGATAGATATTAGCGGTTGTTAATGATGCGGCTGAATGAAACCCTTCTGAGCTCTGCGTTTGCCCGAGCAATCCGGCCGCTTGATTGTCACAGAAACCCGGTGAGCGCCCGGTCCTGTTGTTACAGCGTCTGGCAGACGAGGCCAGGGAGCCCGGGGAGGGAAGGCAGCGTGTCTGAGACCGAGACTCGGCATGAGCTGAACTGGGATTCAAACCCCCGGCTGTCTGCACAGACCCTCCTTTAAAAACAAAAAACAGACAGCTAAAACTCAGCCCTTCGTAAATTTTTTCTCGTAGGTCTTCTGTTCTCCATACCGAGAGGTTACTGCCCGTCATTCGGGGGCAAGATCCCTGAGCAACAAAACGGAAGAGCTCGGAGGAAGAGGTCACGTGTCGCTCACAGTTATATCTTTATCACTTACTAATTATACCAACGTCATTGCTGAAAATACATTTCTGTAATGAATGAAACCAAGAATCACCACTCAGCTTCTATAAAACGAAACAAACAAAACAAAACCAAACCCTTGCGATGACAAGAAAGCGTGAAGTCAGATTTTAACAGGGCGAGATAAACTAACCCCCGAACAAAGCCCCATCTTTCTGTGATTCTGTGGTCTGGGGATTACTTCCACTTTCAACGGAAGTGAGAGCCACTGGCGTAGTGAGGTGCAGAATGCGAGTCGACCCAGTTTCTAAAAAGACAAAAATGCCCTTAGCGTTTGTAGGCAAAACAGATGCCGAAAACACAAATTCCGCCCAGAGACAGGCGACCGCTCCCGAGTCCAGGGCATGGTGTGCCAGGGCCGGGGGCTCCGCCACAAGCCCCGCTCGACGCGTTGACACCGATGACGACCCACCGAACCCCAGCTGAAGGGGACACGAGGCGGAAGGTGCAACGGGCAACGAACGCCTCCTCTGACGTGCGGCATCTGAATCTCAGAGATGCGACTAACATCACCTGTGATTCGATATCAACGAGACACACCAGACCCTCCCCTCATCTGAACAATAACGCGGTGGGCACGTTGCCGATGGGATGAAACTCAGGACCCCGGTGAGCATCATGGCCATGATTATAAATCTCATCGCTCCACTAATGGCTGGGAAATGCCGTCTCCAGCCTTTACGGACGTCTAATGCAGTCCGAAGGCCGAGGGAAACTGCTTAGCTCTGTGACCGCGATCTCGTGTGTGCATGCGCACTTGGTGGGTAAAATACACATAACGTAAGGTCACCCTGTCAGCTGTTTTACAGTGTGCAGGCCAGAGGGGCTCAACACACCCCCGTGCTGTGCCACGGCGCCACCATCCAGCTCCAGAACGTTCCATCGCCCGGCCCGGGAGCCCTGTGACCACGAAACCACATGCCCCCGCACTGGTGGGCACCGCCATCATCATTCCGATCTTTGTCTCTATGGATTTGCCTATTCTCTTTCTTCTTTCAAATGAATGAGATCACTGAACCACAAGAACAGTATGCCACCGAGACAGCCAACACAGCATGCGAACACGGGAAGGGCTGCGTTTGTTCAAAGAATGTTCTCACACGATTCGACAATCTTTGTGAGCAGAGACGATCTCGACGACATATAGATACGTACGCTCTGATCATATGCTACGTACACACGTTCAAAATTACTAGTGTCGAGGTTCAATTTCGTCGGCCCAAGACACTGAATTACATTGTGTCACTGCAAAAAAGCCACTACAGCTCTTTAAAACCTTCTGCTTGCCCCTCCCGACTGGGCCATGCTTCTAACTCTCTAAGGCATCATTTTGGGGTGATTGTGGACGCGACCACATGGGTCCACATGAAGAAGCCCGTGTGACCAATTTGGGGCTGCTTCGATCTGATTTTTTGAGGGGCGGCAGATTAAATCAGTCAAAACTAGTCATACTGTCTTTTGCATGAAACTGCCTGGGATCGGCTGGCATCAGTGGTCTGAGGAAGGGGTGGTGGTGTCCCATTTTATTACACGTCTCTCTCTGCGGGCTTAGTCGCACTGGAGCCCTGACTCTCGGTGAAGGCTCATAGAGGGGGAGGCGGGAGGGGGAGGGGAA